AATTATAATAGATTTTAGTTATGAATAATGTTCTAGTCTAAATTGTTCGAAAGTGTCAATTGATGAGGATGCAAATAGACCTAAGTGAACGACACATGCTCTTTAGAGCCTCTAGTTTTTGTACTCTCTGTTAATTCTATTCGAAAATTTTCTATACTCGGGTCGATTAAAAGCTTAACATTGCGAACAGACATTTGTTTATTGTTTACCTCGGAACTTCCAACAGGCAATAGATTAAACGCGAGAAAGAAGACGTAGATACTCTTTCTGAATGGATTAAGGCTGTGAGGTCGTTGATACAAATCAAAATTAAAAAACTGAATGGGTCTATGAATACCCATGCTGCATCGATCTTTAAAGACCCAAATGTTGCAAAACACCTGTCCTACCGCCAAGACAAATATATTGTTATCCCCGCAGATAAAGCCCCCAACAAAAAGTAACATCACAAAAATACTGAACTCCGAGGAAAATTCAAAACGGGAAGTCCCTAATCAAATGGCAAAATCAAATGATAAAACACATCAAACGAATGGACAACAACTGTCATATTCCTGACTTGGTACAGGCATTTTCTTATGTAGAAAATGGTGGATTGAACCTGGTTTTATAGCGCTAAACCTCTCACTTGTATTACAGTCGCATCAAATTCAATTATATTTACAACGATGCGTGAACAAAACAGACAGAATAGGTAATATTGTCAAAATATGGGTACAGCAGTCATCACTGTGTCACAATCTCAAAACAAACAAACATTTAACAAAGAAGCACAAAAAGAATCTATCAAATTTAACAATCACATTCATTGCTTACTTATATATGTATTTTAAATCAACCCATAAAGGATTGAAAAATTTAAAGTCCTGTGACTGCATTCACATCTACTCTAAGTGTAGAGTCGCGTGTTTGACGCAGGAAGAAATACAAAATAATTTTGTCGTTCAAAGTATTTTCAAAATTATAATTTCACATGGAGAATGGTGGTATACAGGATTGAAAAATCAAAAGTTTTTGTTAGAACTAATTTCAGGAAAAGACCGAGATTTAAAATTATCCAGAAGTTTTTAAGAATCCACATATGGTTAAAACCACTACGCGAGTAAAATAATTTCGTCGGTCAATGTATTTTCAAAATTATAATAGAACAATAACATAATGGTATTATAATAGAACAATAACAAAATGGTGGGATCTTTAAAAGTACAGAGCTACGTCATATGTACCAAAGAAACACATAGAGTCACACGTACAAAACACACCAGCAAAAATGAAAGATAATACAAACACATTGACGGGATGTATAAGTACCGAGCCACGTCAAATGGATATCACAGAAAACAGACCAAACAGTAAAAGTAATATTAATAATAAAACAAAGACAAATAAAAGAACAATATAACACGTTATTAAGATGACAAGTAACGTCAGTACGCAGAATCTAAACATCAAGACCATCATGTATTATTTGTGAAGTTGATACGGAATATTTATCAACAGGGTCTTGGTACCTTCCGATGAACTTTTTTAGAAAAAGGACGAGACGTTCTTTGACATACCACTGGTTCAACTTTCTGCTCAGACACTGGTGACGTTTTACAAAGTCTGAGTAGGAGCTGCAAGCTCTTGAATATTGAATAAGTTGGGAAATGTATATCTCATATGCAGGTGAAGTTGGTATAATGCTACTAAGGAGGAGGAAATTGATAATTTCAAAATTAAAATCGTCTCGTTTGTCATAGATTCTGGTACTGAGATGACTGTGTATGTCAAATTCGAGGTATAAGTCTAAAAATGAGGTGGAGGAAGCCGTGTCTGTTGTTTCTTTAATTTCTAGTTCTGGGGGATATATAAATGGAATCCAATCAGAAAAGTTCGGATTGTTAATGGAAAGAACATCATCAATATATCTGAAAGTGAAATTAAATAATCTGGCTTCTTTGATCTTCTTGTTTTTGACAAGTGTCTGAAGGAACTCCGATTCATATGAAAAAAAGAAGAGGTCGGCAAGGAGAGTCGCACAGTTCGTTCCCATAGGAATGCCGACAATTTGTTGAAAAAGTCTACCTCCAAATTCAACAAATATGTTGTCCGTAAGAAACTCCAGCATACTGATCACTTGTTCTTCTGTGTAACATGTTTTACCCTTTTTTTTTACTATTAACAAAATTTGCCTTATGACATAAACATCGTTTTTGTGTGTAAATAACATTACATAAACTGCTTGATAAATGAATTAGGTACTGACAATTAACTTGGAAACTCAACATATACCCCCCACGACACTTACCAAGGTGGAAATCCTGGATAATCATAGGTCTTTTCTATGTTGGAATTACAAACAAAGATGAAAAACTGGATCCTTACAAACAACGTTATATTGCTGGGTCTTCTGAGTGCTCCAGGAAACCTCTTTCTAAATTATTAACATCAATTTTATCAGCAATCAACACCGGGCTTCAAAGTTATTGTGAAACTACTTATTCTAGAGGTAGAGTGAATCAGATTTGGATATTAAAAAATTTCAAAGTTTAAGAGTACATACAGTCTAAGATTCTTTCATCTTGCAATAATATTAAAGCATTTGACTTTTCTACACTTTACACAAGTAATCCCCACTCCAAACGTAGAGACAAATTGATAAAGTTGGTCCTGCTTTGTTTCATAAAAAAGAATGAATAAAGTATCTTGTCTTAGGGATGGACAAATCTTACTTTGTAAAAAAACACTCCCAAATTGACATTATCAAGATGCTTGATTTCTTGATTGACAACATATTTGTTACGTTCGAAAGACATGGGAACTAACTTCTTGCAGACTTGTTCCTTTATTCATATGAGGTTATCTTTATACACGAAAGAAAGAAAAGAAGTGTGTGGTATCATTTAACTTTACTTTCCGCTATATAGATTATGCTCTCTCACTAAATAATTCAATATTTGGTGACAATGTTGAAAGCATCTATCTCATCAACCATGAGATAAAGGATGCAACAGATACAATTAATTCTGCCTTATATCTTGACTTAGATCTAGAAATTAACAATGACGGTCGGTTAAAAACAAAACTTTACGACAAAAGAGATGATTTCACTTCGAAATTGTGAACTTTCAATTTCTATGTACATGTAGCAACATTCCAGCAGCGACTGCATACGGAGTATTTATCTCTCATTTAATACAATATTTCAGGGCTTGTATTTCCTTGATAGAGGGTTGCTGCTCACAAATAAGCTATTAAACCAAAAGTTCCAAATTGAAATCAACGCTATAACGAGTTGGTTCACCGTTATGAAATATCCGTTTCACAGATGATATAGCGGATATATTCAGTTTGTTGTTACTACAATCCCGTCCCCTTTTTCCCGAATGTGACCTACCGAATAACCATTTCGGAGCACCTGAACTCATCCCCAGTTTTTGGTTGGGTTCGTGTTGCTCAGTCTTCAGTTTTCTATGTTTTGTTTTGTGTACTATTGTTTGTCATTTGGTCTTTTTTTTCTAGCTATGGCGATGTCAGTTTATTTCGACTTATAAGTTTGAATGTCCATTTGGTATGTGTCGTCTCTCTCCCACAGTCCCTTTCACTAGTATCAACAGCCTGTAACTTTAATCTTATCAAAACTACACAGTTATGTTTGTACCAATATTACTTTCCTTTTATCATTCTTGAGCTTATTCGGATATGCTTTTGCTGATTTTGTGTTGTATATTTGTAGTTTTGTTCAGTATGTTTTACATCTTTGTTTGCTACTTGTGGACTCTGGTCATTAATCAAAGTGTTACATACAAACCATCACACTAAAAATATTTAAGAGTTGTTCATATTTAGTAATCATCAGATAATAGTTATTTCTTTTATATCGAACGGTTGTTTTCATTTAATAAATTATTTCACTTCACTTTGAATTCTAGATCAACGCAAATGTAAAATATTTTGTAAATTGAGTTCGATCCACATTACTTAATTGTGTACGGGATATCCCGTTGATAGATTGTTAAAACGATTAAAATGGAAAAGTTGTTATATGAAAATTAAACCGTAATCTTACGTTGTATATATGTATCTACCTAAACAGAAGATTAATATTTTGATATTTCCTATGGATGAAGTGCAAACGGTATTACTTTTAATATACTCAAATAGAAGATATTTCAAAACATACAAAGAAGGATTTCAGTCTTCAACTCACTTCTTTTGTATAACAAATCGTTTATCATATTCTTTGGTTTAAAAAGTTGCTTTGTTTGCAACTGTATGTGAATTTATAGAACTTTGAATGCAAAAATTACTACTGAATGCGAAAGTTAACATGTTATTGTAATAAAAACTTAATCTAAATTTCATTTGAATGCGATCTAACCTATAAAACAAGTTTCAAGTCTAGTCTAATAGTGCTAAGATAATATAAACCTTTTTTTTTTGTTTGCTAAATTTTGTTAAAGTGCCATGTCTGATTATTGGAGATGGCTCTACCGTGTTTATCTAGTTAAATAAGATCATCTTGTGATGCACATAACTATATTAAATACAAAATCTGTATGTAAATTGATGGAAATTTTCTTAAATAAATTATTAAATATTTGAACGATTCTAAGACTGCAAAGATTTTCTCTGCTTCGTTGTTAGCATAAATTAATTTAATATTTTGCTAATACATGTTCTAATATATTTCTTTGAATTATGTTATTCAACTTTGGCGCTTTACGGTTTAGTTTTTTTTTTAAATTCCTACCATTGTGTTTGATTTTAATCGAAATCGACATGGCTTACACGCCGTCCTCAAAGAGTAGCCTGACATGAACTGTGGCGTAAACAGTTATCTTTAGCTTTACTGTTTACTAAACATAGAAGCAGGATCAGAAAACTGTATTTTTATATATTTGTACATTTCGGTTGTACGATAGCTGGCTGATTGAACGATAAAAAAAACCATACTGGTAATGGTCATGTGAATTGTAAATTACGTGTGAAAGATACGACTTTTTTTTTAATTTTAGGCAAAACCATTTTTTGAAGATAGTCACTTAAATGATTTCATCAACTCCAGAAAGCTTCCTGAAGGTAACAAAAATGCTTTAAGTTGGAAAACTATATCACACGTAGTATTGATTCGAAAGTTTTGCAACATATTATAGAATATATTGCAATAGGCCATCATTATTCATATTGATATATCTTTGTACAAGACGAGGGTTAAAGCATTTGTCATGCACACGTCATCTTGTATCGAATATTTAATTGAATACATTTACGCTATTTTGTTGTTTGATGACTTACTCTGTTGTTTACGACGATCAAAAGTTTTCTTCATTTCTTTCGGTCAAGTCGTCTGGAATTCCTAATTATTAACTGCATGTTTCGGATTTTTTGTCATCGTGAAGTCTAACTAACTCATGAATATACATGTAGGACTCTCAAAGGCCATGGTACTCCGAACCGTGATGGTCACGCAGGGGTGCGATGGTTTGACGCTGAAGTGCGGTTTTCATCACGATGAAGTGCGATGGTGGCATTGTGACGCTATCTTGTTAATATCTACGCCGAAGTGCGATGGTGGTAACGCTGAAATGCGATGGTCTACAAAAACTACATTTACAATGCTTTTCATGTCAATTTAGAAATTAATTTGTTTGTAAGAAGCAGTGTTTCTAGGTTTTTAAAATTCAAAAGTGGCTTATAATTATTTAAATACTAAGAGAAACGGGGAGTGATTGATGGAGAGGGGAAAGTAAACCTTCTGTAGCGTTTTTTTTCGAAATCTGCTAAAAGTTCTTCTGTACGTACAATATAGTGTGACATTCTCTAAATACATACGGGTCCGCAGACATACTCTCTGTTATATTACGGATGAACTCATGAGAAGAACAAAGTAAAAATAAAGTGTTAATGCAGAATTATGTCCATATGTAGAAAATAAAAAATGACAATCTCTCATTTAGTATGCAACAGTAATTAAGGACAGATAGACAGTAATGAAAGTAAATTTATATACTTAATATTAAAAGAATCAACATGTACTTCTCATAATATATGTAATTGCACATCTGTAGATTTTAAACTAGTCATCATTCGTCAAATAGATCATCGCACATCAGCGAACATACCATAGCACTTCGACGTAGACCATCGCACTTCAGCGTGACTATCGCACTTCAGCGACCCTATCGCACCTCCGGGTCCTACATACATATATATTACTTTTAAATTAATTACATATGTTTTGCAAAATATTAATATAATGTGCTCTATCCAGAACGTATGTAGCGTGATTATTATATAGCACATGCAACGTCAACACAACACTAGTAAAATAGAAGAATTGCATTTGACAACAATACAAGTTCAAGTAGAACAATACTAGTGAAATAGTATCAAACAATGCTTGCAATTACAGAAAAAAAGATACATAATCCACCGTGATTGTGAAATCATTAGACACCTTCTTATATTTGTTCATAGACCGTTGTCAAAGAAAGGCATGAACTATTTAATAGATAATAGAATAATTCTAATTGCAGCCTAGATGCTTCATCAATCCATCGACGAAGACGCTCAATAGACTCTACAGAGTCATTTGATATTGAAATATCTGCATTTGGGGAATCTTACAAAATTACTCTTCAACATACCAAGTCAATACTTCACCCTTCGGCTAAAGTTTCCACAATAACTGATGAAGAAGAAACGGAATGGAAGGGAGATCATCCGGATTGTTTTCTGATTGGAAATGTTCATTCCCATGGTGGAACTGTCTCAGCATCATTTTGCGAAGAATTGGTATAACATTGTAATTTAGAAATTGGCAAATATTTAACACAACAGGGTATATGAGAATTTCAAAATATGGTTAAAAGTAAAAAAAAATTGAAATCATTGAACATGTAATTTAAAAGAGTTCCTTTTTTTCAAAAGAAATGTTATGTAACCATTTCATTTCATAGTTGTAAAAAATATATATACAAATATTGAGACTGTTAAAGGTTGGAATGAAAGGAAGTAAATATGACAGTGTGAAAAAAGGTAAAATAATGAAATTATCGAACTCCAAATAAAACTCAAAACTGAAACCTTTATCAAATGGCAATTTCAAAAACTTAAACACACTAAACGAATGGAAAACAACTGTCATATTCCTGAATTGGTACAGGAATTTCTTTATGTTGAAAATGGTGAATTAAACCTGGTTTTATAGCTAGCTAAACCTCTCACCTGTATGACAGTCATAAAGAATTCCATTTTACTGACAACAATGTGTGAGCAAAACAAACAGACCTAATAGGTAAAAATGTCAAAAATTGGGGTACAGCAGTCAACATCTTAATCACCATAAAAAACAAATATGGCATATAGATACTCTATAAACAAAGTACATAAGCAAAAATGAAAGACAAGAATACAAAAATTACCATACCACAGTTTCGAAATGGCGGGATGTATAAATACCTAGAAAAGCCAAAAGTGTATTACCAAAAAAGGACTAAACAGTAAAGGTTAAAAATATGTACCAATAAAAAATGAAAACAATACTTAATAAATTTCATGCGTCTGAATCGCTTTTCTGGATTGATCAGAATCGCTCAATGCTGAATGATTGAAAGCCAAGGATGTATAAGAACAGAAACAGCTGAAGAGCTATATTACAATTAAAGAAGGTTAAGTAAGTATGAATGCTTGGATTCGAGCGCACTTCGTAACATTCTTTCCATTAAGACTTATTACTCCTTCTTGATTACTAAAACCGTGTCATAGCCGCTTCTGGTTACCGTTACCGCAATTAACATCCAACGAGTAACAACTACTTAGGTACTTGCATGATGCTATATAAATGTGTGCCTTTAGGTAATTTTGAGTAACACGCGTTTCATTATAAAATGTGATGGGCAAATCTTATGTTGAATCTCATATTAATCTTTTCTGTTGCATATGAACGTAAAGGGAAATACAATTTATCAATTTAGCGTGGTATGATGTCAACTAGCCATCATGAACTTCACTTTGAAGTTTTACCACATCATATTCGAAAACGGAGTACATTAAGTAGTAAACAGCATACAACAGTGATAGCAAGAAAACTACGAGAAGATTTAATGTTCCCTGATTTAAGACAACAGAATGGTGAGCATTGATTTTCTGTTCAATATATTTATTTCAAAGTTGTATTTCATATCAATTGATAATGATATTCCTTGATTTTATTAATAAGGAAGTTGACTTCATAAGCAGCAATCAGAAAAGGAAACATACGAAAGTTAAAATAAGAATAAGTTAATATTTAGGACAAACCGAAATTATATAAATGTAATATCAAGTAACCATGGAGCGTGTATCTACTAAGCAAGCATATCATGTTGTTCACTTAAGAATAATTTTTTCAGTCGTTCTGGGAATTGTTCATACTATTTCAGATATAAACCAAACTGAATATAACCACAAAAGAATTCATAAACGGTCGGTGCCTTCTACTGACTTCACAATAGAATTGGCAGTGTATTGTGATGCGGACTTCTTGTTTCATAAATTACCAACTACTGACATGACCCGCAGAGTGGAAATCATGCTTTGCAAATATAATGCAGTGAGTATACTTATATCATGATAATGCAATGCAGTAAATGTAGTTTTGTTGATAAAATCTAGCTGTTCCTCTCGTTATAAGTTACTTACAATGAACGCTACAAACAGATCTATCATACCTCGTCGTTCTATTGAAATAATAAATTATCTATCTTCATGATGAAAAAAAAAATAATTTCATTCAGATAGCAATATCAGGAAAGTATACCATTGGTTGTTCAGGTTGTTTAAATGAGTCAAAATGAGTACGTTATTGAGCTGATGTATATAAAATAAGGAGATGCGCTCATGTTAGAAGACTGCAACGTTTTTTTCATGTAAAATAATTCTGAAAACTATCATTTGTCGTAACTACAATACCCTTCCCTTTTCACGAATGTGACCTACCGAATTAGACTATTTACCGGATTTGTAATAACATAAGCAACACTACGGGTGCCACATGTGGAGCAGGATCTGCTTACCCTTCCGGAGCACCTGAGATAACCCCCAGTTTTTGGTGGGGTTCGTGTTGCTTAGTCTTTAGTTTTCTATGTTGTGTCATCTGTACTATTATTTGTCGTCTGTTTGTCTTTTTATTTTTGGCCATGACGTTACAGTTTGTTTTCGATCTACGAGTTTGACTGTTCCTCTGGTATCTTTTGTCCCTCTTTTAAGAGCATACGATACAGTTTTGATCTCATAATTGGTTTTGTTACAAACATTTGCACACCAGCTATTTGTCAATTTTCTGTTGTTATAAATATGTACTACTTTCTGGTATTTTTTTTTCAGACCGGGCCCGAATTAGTGGTGTTACATCTGTATATATCTAAGTTATTGCGACATTCCAGAGCTCACTTTTAATATCGTGATTTCCTTAACGTAAAGGTAACTTTTGGACCAATGGTTTCAAATGTTAAAGTTGAAGTCATCCCTTCGAACGTTTTACGGAATCCATTATAATTTGGTCGACTGTAATGGATGACAACGAATAAGTTTAAAGTTTCGAAACCATAATCCTGTTTTCTTCATTTTTTTTTCTCGATTTTGACATTACCTAATGCGAGTTATTACCGATGCTTGTTTCATAACAAATAATGGCAACCATGAAATATATATATTTATATATATATTATGCTTTTGGCCGTACAAATCACAGGTTTAAAAGGCATTTGGAAAACAAGAATGGCCAAGATAGATACTATATCTTGTTGTTAAAACTCTATATTTGAAACGGGTTGTCCTAATCAACACAACAGATCTTCCTAATCAACATAACAGATCTGCAACACTTTCGTTACTTTTGAGATTATCCATGGTTTTCAGATGAGTTTATGTTCCTCATTCTTCAGTTTGTTGGGATAGGCTTAGTGTTTTACATTCTTTTCTCAGGTGTTAAGGTCGGGGTTAATCCTTATAATCATAAATAGCTGCATTGGTTTTATATGTATTAAACTGAATAGAATTATAATTAAAAAAGTTTACACCAAAACATAAACAAAGAG